CATTAAAAATATTAAAATCAAAATTTTTTTTAAATTTCATGAAAGTCAATATATGAAAATATTTTAAGATGAAGGGACTATCAATTTTTTAAATATACTATTATATTTTGGAGTTTTGATCAATGAATAAAAATGCAGATGGATTGTCAAATTGATGAGAATTTTGATCACCAATTCAATCAACTTAATCGATTCAATAAATTATTTAACATTCTTTCAAAATTAAAATTTATAGAAAATTTAAAAAATAGAAAGAAAAATTTAGAAAATTGATAAAAATAAGAAAAATCAAGAAAAAATTTTCAGAAAAATTAAACAACACATAATCAAATAATACAAGTAACAAACAAATCCATCACAACTACAAGGCTAAAAATATAACTAAAATTCAAAGTTCAAACATTAAAGAAATCTAAAATCCAAGTTCCAAAGTCCAAACTTCAACATGGGATTGAAAAAAAAAGTCCACATTGCTAATATAGTGGGATGTTTCAAGAGTTCACTTTAATTTGGGTTTAAAAAGCCCTAAAAATTAGAAAACATCACCAATTTTCGGTTTGAGCGGATTTAAGTGGAGGCAGCTGCACAATCGCCCCCACCTCTGAATTCTTTCCTATTTGTGCAAGTTTTTCTATAGAATCAATTTTGACTACTGCCAGCATTTTAATAATAACATATAAAAATAAATTATTCTTATCCAAACAGATATATTATTGCTTACAATATTAAAATTTAAAACAATTAACCTTAATTGAGGGTATTGATTAATTTAATAATTATTTGAATAAATTAAAGTCAGAACAGAAGTTTTTATATTAGAAATTTTGTATCAATATGAATAGTTCTAAAACTTAATAATAAAAAATTACAATAATTGACCTATTTGGATGTATAATTAATTATTTGAAGAAATTTGCATGAATAGTTTTGAAGCTTTTAATAAAATAACATGTCCTTGATTACATTGCTTGAAAATGGCAGATAAATATATATACTTTGGTACAGGTCAAATTGAAAAGAAGGGATATTTTAAAAATGATAGACATCCATTTCGTTGTCATTTTTGGTTACAGTCAGTGATCCAAGATGATGTCAAGGCTCTTGAGCATTGCCGATTCCCGTTTCGTTTTGCCAATATTGGAGGTGTTATGGTATCTTTGCTTCCTCTATTGAGAGAAAGTTGTGGGTATGCGTATGACACCTATTTACAATAGCCGAGTCGTTTACCCATTGATTTCCACTTTAATATGGATGAGTCTTTTTCTCACGGTCTTGAATTTAAATTTGTTTGACGATTGATTAATATAAAGACATGGAAGCTTATTTATTGTTATCATTATTTTTTGGTTGTAGTAATCTTTTTTAAATTTTTATGTTAATATTTATTGAATTATTTACTTAGTATGCATTCACTTCATCTTCAGTCACTATTTCTCTTGTGAGGTTCTTGTTCACATTGGTATTGTTCTGAATTTCATATTAATGCTGTCATCAGGTTGTGAGGGCAAAGAAGAAGGATACAAGAATGGTGTATGCTTTGAAGGTCATGGACGAAAAGTTCATCACCAAGGAAAATTAAACAGCTTATGTAAAGTTGGAAGGTATTGTCCTCGATCAACTGGATCATCCTGGTGTTGTGCGGCTCTATTTTTACATTTCAAGGTATTTTTTTACTGTGTAGGTATTCTTGATTATATCTTTCATTATGTGCATACTTGGTTATGATAACTCTATCTTAAAGCCAAAGAATTTCACTTGATTAAAAACTGCAAATCTTTCGATTGTGGTTTGTCAGTCATAATTCAATTTTTTGCTTTAATCTTTAAATTTTGTTTGCAATTCTTCTGACATTAAAAATTAACAATGTTAGATTATTATTAAGTAACTACTTTATATTAACTACAAATATCTTGATTTTGGACTAGAACTTTGTGAAGTTATTTCATGAACTGAATCATAGTATTAGTGCAGACTAGAGAGTCAATAAGTATTAATGATTCGCAGTCAATTATAATAATAACAAGAATTTCACTGACATAACAACTGAATTTAGATTTTAATTTTATTTTCTAAAATTTTGTTATTAATAGACAAGCAGTCTCCAAATTATGAATATTCAAGAAAGATTCGATGGGTTATATTTGGTTACTAATAAAGAACTTTAAACTACTTCTTTGTCTCTAAAGCTATTTTTTTTTTTCAAGTTTTTTTGCTTGAAAAGATTGCTTTTTAAAGCTAATTGATGCTGTCTATTTTCATTAATTTTTCTTTTTTTTTGGGATTATTTCATTTTTCACATATATATTTTATCAAACACACCCTTACTTCGTTATTACTATTATTATTTATAATACTTTTGAATAAATTATTCATTTTTTTATTTTTAATTCAAACAAAAAATTTTTAAAATTTGCAAAAAAAAAAAATCCCACACAAAACGGGGTATACATTCTAGTTGAAATTAAAAAAAGAAAAAAAAGAGAAGTGATTTTAGAAGAAATTAGATGCAAAATGAGAAGCGAAGAAGAAAAGTGGACAAGTGAGCCTGAAGAAAAATTTTCAAGTGACAGTTTCTCTCCCAGTTAACTCCTCAATTTGATATTCAAATAGGAAAACTTTAATAAATTTTCTGTAGTCTGTTCCACTTGTATTCTTTCCAATTCGAGCAACGTTCAAACTCAATTTCAAACTTTATCATTAGTGTCTTTGGTATAGTTTTTCAAAATCGCAAATATATTGCTAATTGAATGTTAAATGAAGACCGTGATTTTGTTTTATAAAAAACTTTTATAAGTGTGATTTTAAATTTTTGCTTATATATTATAACGAAAAATTAAAATGTTACACATTAAAAATCATACCATGCATATCTAATTTTTAATGAAATTACAAACACAAACAAAAACTATAATTATAATTAGACTAAACCCACATATTAATTTGGTCAGACTTTATACAAAAAGTTTAGATGATCACCTTCCGTGATTTTTTTACCACATTAACTGTACTTGATCACTTTGATTGCAAAATATTAGACCTTGGCTTACAAGCAAGGGCTAATATTTCCTTATCTAAATACCATTTTTCAAAAGACAAAATCGTAGCAACAAATTACCAAGTTTTAAGCTGACAATACGCAATTAAAAAAATCTTTGCGTCAACGAAAGGAAAGCTGGAGCAAAAAGGGCTAGTCTTTGCTCCTATAATCCTCCCAATTAAAACCCTAGTGAAAGAAGGTTTAATCCCATAAAACATTTGTTACAATTATTATTAGTTGTTTATTTATTTATATGGTTATTTATTTGAGAATAAAAGTTGTTATTTTAAATTTTCATAGAAAATTTTTCTTTAATACATCTAAAGGTAAGCATATAATGTTAAACTAATGAAATCTTATTTTAGTGTTCAAAAAAAGATCTTAAGTTCAAAATTTATTATATGTAAGTTTGATTTAATTTGTATTGAATTTGTTTAATTATATTTTAATTTATTGATTAATTTACTTATTTGATTAACCAATAACTTTTTATATATAAATATAAAACTTAATAATAATTATAATTTATACTTATAATTTCATCGAAAAGAAATTGATCAAATAATATATAATCGTACACCCAATATCTTCTTCTTTCTAAAATTTTGTTTTTTTTAAAAATACACACACGTACACAGATTTATCAAATTCAAGATTTCGAGGCAAACGCCTTTTCAATTACGGACCTTTTAGCTCTTCCACTAGAAAAACACTCTTTAAATAAATTAATTTGTGGTTCCTAAACAAATCGCTGGAATAGCTCAGTTGGTTAGAGCGTGTGGCTGTTAACCACAAGGTCGGAGGTTCAAGCCCTCCTTCTAGCGTTTCAACTTTTTTTCTTGTTTTTTTACCCCAATAACAATAATTAACCAAACTCAATGTCAAAAAATGTTGCTCGCCCGTTAATCCAACCCAATTTTCAAAATTGACCCCAATCAATTTTTTGTTTTTTACTAATAGCGTAAACCAATTTTACATGAAACGAATTTTTTTTTTTAATACAAAGATGATAACATTCCTAATATATCTAATCCCTTACAAAACTTAATAATTTAATGAAATAAAAAATTTTATATGTTCTCACCATTTTCTTTGTCTATTTTTTTTTGGAATGATTCAAAATTATATTTTCTTAACATTTTAAAATTCTTATTTTTATATTTTTAAAATTATTATTTATGATTTTTTAACTTTCAACATTAAAATCATGAAATTTTAATTTTATAAAAAAATACATTTTAACATTATAATCTCGAGCAGTGATAGGACACCCATGAAACCGTGTGGAACTAACTCTGTTGTATTCATTTGTGATTTGTCTTGTCAAACCACTTTTTCCAAAAAAGTTCCAAGCCAAAATAATACACCCTATGAATGAGAATCCAATATGAACATACACAAAATAGTTATCAACTGCCCTCAATTGTTATTTGACCCAAAAAACAAAGACTTTCACGAACACTACTTAAAAACTGGTTAGCTTCTGCACAACAGACTGCAATTCTTTTCCTCTACTTCAAATTCCTACTCTTTGATTTTCTATCTACTTCCATTCTTCTTATAATTCCTTCCTCTAATTTATTTATTTCATCATGTCTTTCATTGGAGAGGCCGCTTTATCTGCGTTCTTTGAGGCGTTGTTTCGCAAGTTTGCCTCTTCCGAGTTCCAGTTTGTAAGTGAGGAGCGGGTTCGAAAGGAGATTATGAACTGGGAAACTATGCTGAGGAACATCCATGCGGCGCTTGCTGATGCAGAGGGGAAGCAACTGCAGAGCCAGGCTGCGAAGATTTGGTTGGCTGACCTCCAAGACTTGGCTTACGACGTGGATGATATCTTGGACGAGTTTGCGACTCAAGCTTTCGGGCGTAAGTTGATGAAACACATCAAGCCACTACAAGTAAGCCCAAAAAATTTAACCCTGCTTACTTCACTGGTTTACATCTAAGTTCAATCAAGTTTAATCATAAGATGATGTCCAAGATTAAAGAGATTACTGGAAGATTGGAAGGTTTAGCCACTAGAAAGAGTAACTTGGAGCTAAGGGAAATCACTTATCATGTTGGAAGGCCCATGACAATCCCAAGAAGGCTGCCAAGTACTTCTTTGGTGAACGAAGCTAATGTACTCGGCAGAGACAAAGACAAGAGGGCAATACTTGATTTGCTGTTGAGGAACGATGGCAGTGATGCTGGAGTTTATTCTGTGACTCCCATCGTTGGCATGGGAGGGATTGGGAAAACAACCCTTGCTCAACTTGTTTACAATGATGACAGCATAAAAGATTATTTTGATCTTAGAGCATGGGTTTGTGTTTCTGATGAATTTGATATCATCAGGATAACAAAGACAATTCTCCTGTCAATCACCTCCGAAGCATGTGATATGAATGATTTGAATTTGCTTCAAGTCAAATTAAAGGAGATGCTATCGAAAAAGAAACTCTTTCTTGTTTTGGATGACGTTTGGAACGACAACTACAACGATTGGTTAACGCTTCGATCTCCTTTTGATGCAGGGGAACCAGGAAGCAAAATAATTGTCACAACACGTAGTTCCAAAGTTTCATCAATTATGACAACTGCCGCAGACTATTCATTGCAATGCTTATCAGAAGAAGATTCTCTCAGAATGCTTGCTCATGACGCATTAGAAGGAGAGGATTTTACAGGGCATCCAGACTTGAAAGATATTGGCTTGGAGATCTTGAAGAAGTGTGACGGTTTGCCTTTGGCAACAAAAACCATTGGAGGACTATTGCGCACAAAGGTTAATCGTGATGCATGGAAAGTTATATTAGAGAGTGATATTTGGAATCTGCCTTAACATGGAAGTGACATAATTCCTGCTCTATGGTTGAGTTACTATTATCTTCCTTCACAATTAAAGCAATTTTTTGCTTATTGCTCTCTGGTCCCTAAAGATTATGAATTTGGTGAGGAAGAAATAGTTCGATTATGGATGGCTGAAGGTTTTCTCAATGGACCAGAAACTAAAGGGCAAATTGAAGATTTGGGCAACCAGTGTTTTGAAGAACTGGTATCAAGATCATTCTTTCAAGTATCAAGCATGGATGAATCTCTATTTGTAATGCATGACCTGATTAATGATCTAGCTTAGTTCGTTGGAGGAGAAAATTATTTTAAAATGGAAAGAAATGAGGAAATGAAGCACCCAAGTCACGCTTGCCACTCCTCTTATATGATAGGCCACTATGACAACATCAAAAAGTTTGAGTCCCTTTTAGAAGCCAAGTCACTACGGACGTTCTTACCCTTTAAGATGCTGGGGACGTATGAGTGCTTCTTAAGCAATAACGTTCTTAATGATTTACTGCCGAGATTGAAATGCTTGAGGGTGCTCTCTTTGAAAAGGTACCGCATCACTGAAATACCAGATTCCATTGGAAATTTGAGACATTTGTGCTATCTAGATTTGTCTTATAATTACATGAAAGGTCTCCCTGATTCAATATGCGCCCTTTATAATTTAGAGACTCTTTTATTAAGGCATTGTCGGTGGATTGAGAAGTTACCCACAAAAATAGGAATCTTAGTCAACCTTTGCCATCTAGATATTACCGGTGCAGATTCAATTAAGGAAATGCCAAGTGGAATTGGTAAATTAACAAATCTCTGTGCATTGTCTAATTTTATTGTGGGCGAAGGCAATGCATTGAATATAAGAGAGTTGCAGAATTTATCAAATCTCAAAGGTCGGCTTTCTATTTCAGAGTTGCAGAATGTGAATGAAGCTCAGTTTGCAGGGGAAGCTAAGCTATCAAGTAAGCCTGACGTCGATGATTTAGAGCTGGAGTGGTGTAAAGACTTCAGTGAAAATTTAAGAAAGAAAGAAGTCGAGACAGAGGTGTTGAACTTGCTTCGACCAGATGAAGTGCTTAAAGCGCTTGCCATCGGTATTATGCTGGAATAGCATTCCCAATTTGGATAGAAGATCCTTCATTTAAAAATTTGCAATCATTAAAGTTTGTAAATTGTCCAAATTGCACATTATTACCTGCAGTTGGAAAACTACCACTTTTAAAGGATCTTTACATCGGGGGAATGAAGAGCGTAACTAGTATTGGCAATGAGTTCTATGGAGAGAATTGGACAAATGCGTTTCTATCATTAGAGAAATTGCATTTTCGAGATATGCCAGAATGGAAAAAGTGGAAGGCATGTGAAGTTGATGAACAAGGAAGAAAATTCCGTTGCCTCCGAGATCTCCTTATTGTGGGTTGTCCCAAATTGATAGGGACATTGCGGGAGTACCTTCCTTCTTTGGAAAAACTCGAGATTGGTAATTGCCAAAAATTGGTAGTTTCAATTTCAAATCTTCCAAAGCTATGTGAAGTAAAAATCGATGGGTGTGAAAAAGTAGTGCTTGGGAGTTGTATGGATCTTTGGTCGGTAAAAAAAATCACCTTTTCCAACATTTCAAAGTTTGCATGTTTAACAAGGGGAAGGGTGTTGATGTCAAGATGAAAGTAGAAGATCTCAATGTTAAAGGTTGTGAGGAATTGGTTTCTTTGTGGCAAACAGAGTGGGGTTGGTTAGTGCCTTTGAAATCTCTTCGTAATTTCGAGCTTGAAAATTGTCCGCAGGTCGTTTCTATAGGTGCAACGGAGGAAAAAGCAAAGATTTTGCAATTTGACATACCCTGCAACGTTGAACATTTGGGAATAAAATATTGTGAAGAGTTCCAAAAGTTATCAAAAACCATCACATGTCTTAGAGAGCTAGAAATTGCAAAGTGCCCAAAATTGGTTTCACTTTTGGCGGATAACTTTCCCTCAACTCTTAAAAGTTTGGTGATTAGGGAATGTGAGAATTTGCAGTGCTTATTGGAAGATGGGGAGAATATCAATTTCAGCTGCAATTCTCTCCTTGAATTTCTTCAAATTAGTTATTGTGAAGTTCTCAAATCATTATCATCAAGCGGTAAGTTACCCCTTGGGCTTAAAAGGTTGGTGATCTGGAACTGTCCAGAGCTAGAATTTGTAGCACAGGAAATTGGGGATAATACATGTCTTGAATCTATTGAAATCAGGTATTGTAAAAATATTCAGTACTTACCCCAAGGAATGGACAAGCTTAAATCTCTGTATATTGCTGGGTGTGAAAAACTTGAAGCTCTGCCCAACCTTAACTCTCTTCAAGACTTGACCATATTGAGTTGTCCAAGGGTGACATCCATCCCAGAAGGGGGTTTACCTACAAACCTAACAATGCTTCACATCTTTGGACCCAATATTAGTAAGGCAGTAATGGAGTGGGGATTGCATAGAGTCACCTCTCTTAAACATCTCCAAATTCATGATGGTAATTGTGATGCGGTGACATTTCCAGGAGGGGTTTTGCCTGCCAACCTAACAATGCTTCACATCTCTGGACCCAATATTATTAAGGCAGTAATGGAGTTGGGATTGCATAGACTCACCTCTCTTACAAAACTCTACATCGATGGCAGTAATTGTACAGATGAGATGTCATTTCCACAAGAGGAGATCAAGCTGCCCTCTTCTCTCAACCTTATTTCCATCTCAGACTTCAGAAATCTAAGGAAGCTATCCTCCACAGGCTTTCAGCATCTTTCCTCTCTTCAATTTTTGTGGATAAACAATTGCCCGAAGCTCAAGTCCCTTCCCAAAAGGGAAGTGTATCCCTCACTTTTGCATCTAAGAATTATTGGTTGTCCATTGTTGAGGAAAAGGTGCGAAAGGGATAAACGAAAATATTGGTCCAACATCGCTCACATACCATGTGTTTACCTTCGTTAAGAAATAATCTACGAGAATGATCAAGAGCAACGTACGACACAGAGGTATTTTAATTTGAAACTAATAGTACCTCTTCAACTGATATTTTTTTTAAATGTACAAATATATCCTCACAAGTAAAACAACCATGATTTAAACGAGCATCCAATTCACTTGCATTTAATTTTTAAATATTTTTAGTTTTACTTTTTTACTAATAAATCGAGATGATAATGCCATTTCCTTATTAAGCAGAAGAATTAGATCATGTATGACTCAAGTATTTTAATCTAGAATTAATTACTATTTTAAGTTCTGATTTTAAGAAAATATTTCGTTATTAAGTATTGACTTTAATATTTACTCAATTAATTACTATTTTTACTTATTTAAGTACTGATTTTTATATCAACTTAATATTTTATTTCTTTGGTTTCATATTGTTTTCTATTTTTTTTGAAGTAATCATTTATTTGGTTTTCTTTCATCCAATTTTGAGTGGTACTAAATGAGCTGTAAATTTCTAGCTTTTGTCCGGATGTCCAATTTTAGAAGATAATTTCCCATTTTGAGTTGATGGATGTTTGTATGTGGCCTTGTCTTGTTTCTACAAGAGGGGGATATATACAGCATTGATGCAAGAAGAGGGATTTCTGTCCAAAGGCTTTCAGAATCTGTCTGTTGAAAAAATGGTGAATTCTCAAACATTAATCTTTTGCATCTCTTTTCAAAACCACTAGCCTCTTCATTTTGTAGATAAATATGGTTGAATGTTTATTAATTGCTGGTCAGATGATGCAAATGTGATAGAAGAGGAACTGAATCAAGAGAGCCTAGGCACTTTACGTTTCCTCATTCCATTCTCTTGTTCATTGTAGGTATGCCTCCTAAAACATCTTCTCTATTATTATAATTAATCAGTTCTAAGATTCAACCTTTCTCAAAGAAGTGGAATTCTGCACCCTCTATGAGCCCTTTGAGCAATGACTCTGCTCAAACACCTTCCATTGATGACTTTCAAATAGTGAAGTTGCATGTTTGGATGTAATCTTTTCTACACGAGATAGGGGTATAATGCTGCCCAACTTTTGTTCATCTGTTTTTGAAAGTTAAGGTTTCTTCAATTTGTTGCTAAATATTGATGACTGTCCCCTGGGATCAATTGATTTGTTAACTACAAAAAGAAGCATGAATTTTCAATTGGAAGCCAGGTATCTAGATATTGACATCTTGCTTCGTAGAAATTTTAATTAAAATAAAGATCACCATAATAATAATCATGTATTCATTGAACTAAAACAGGCAATTGCAGAATTTCTCTGTTATGGAGCTGGCGATTGATGGCATGCTACTGTGTGTAATAAGTCAGGTATTTCAGTTTTAATTATTTTCTTTTAAGGAAATTTAAGGAAATTTAAAGATTGCTGGACCTTTGGACTCTTACTACTATGGTACTTGCCTGATTTTAAAGTCAACCGCATACTAAATGAGGTGAAAGTGAAAAGAAAGAAATAAACATAGTTTGTTTTTACAAAGCTAGTTGTATTTCATTGTTAATCATTCTCTTTGGTTGCCAGTGCTGCTTATTTTTTATAATTAACTTCTACATCTAATTTTCAGATTACGGATTTGAATAGATTTTTTTACAATACTAATTTATTTGTTTACATCAGTTCTTTTCTCACCAATCTCCAATTTTACTTTTGCTTTGCAAGCAACCAGATGCAGTGAAGCTTAATACAAGAATATTACACCAAGCATCGATCCTAGCGGACATGAAGACAAAAGCTTCTTGGCATTAGAGCATGAGCAGGCTTGAAATCCATCCCTTTTCTTCTTTGTAAAATGGTCATTGCTTTCACTAGACTATACATGTCCTTCAAACTATTGCAGGTGAGAACATTTAGAGTTTTCCGGTTTGTTTCTGTTATTTATATGGATAATCAGTGCTCATTTCGTATCACCAACTATTTTGGCTCTTCAGGAGGTATTTGTTTCTGCCATCATTGATTGGATATGGACCAAGAGCAGTATGGCAGTCTTTTGTCTCTGTTGTTGCCTAACTCCTTATGCCGTGTAAGCAATAAAAGATTTTTAGAGAATTTACTATGTTCAGTTTTCGATAGTTACTCCCACACAGTTAACAGAATGCTTTTGACCTATTATGACAGGATGAGTGAAACCCACTCGTTATAATGCTCTCAAGATTCAGTGGTGGGAAGTTATCTAGGCTGCATTTCCTCTTCTAAAAAGGATACTTCCCAACTGGTTTCATGGTGAAGATTCATAGGAGTGTACTCGAATCTTACACGGAAGAAAAAGAATAAGTTTTTGGGTTCAATCATAATTCTAAATTGCATGATTGGCATTGTTGGATCTCTTAATCCTTTCTTCCAAAACGAGTGATATTAGAGACTAGAGAGCACCTTGGAAAACATGGGTGATGTTGATTCAAGAAAGTCCAGTTCTGAATACTTGATGATGGCTACACAGCTATATAGCTTGAGAAATTGTATCTCACCAAAAGGAAAATTTGGTGTTTGTAAGTGGATGCACAAATTAAAAGAAAGGATGAGAAAGAGAACATCTTCAATGAACACAATCAGATATGTTGTGGTGTCTCCACAAACAGTCCACTTTTGATGAGATTGCTCTTGTTATCCAAGAAATTTACCTGTTTTGATGATATCTTCTTGTAACATCTTGTGGTTAAACTAGAGAAAACTCATATTATAATCCCATTATTTTGAGTAGTGAAAGATTGAGTGGATTTGGTCCCGTGGTTTATTCCCCTTATCAAAGGGTTTTCCACGTAAAATTTGGTGTCCTGCTTTTGATGAGCTGATTATCATTTCTTTTCATTCCTTTGATATCTAAATGATTAATTACTTGTCTTTCCACTTCCTGCTGTGTTGCCAACCCCCATTATTTTGGTTAGTAGCGTTGCCTAGCTGTGAACGATGAACTTTCCATTATGTAAGAGGCAAAATCAAATTTTTAAAAGGAACTATCCATTATCTCGTAGTTAACGCCTCAATTTTATAATCAAGTAAAAAAACTTTAATAAATTATCTGTTTCACTTGTATTCATTCCAATTCTTACTACATTCAAACTCAATTTCAAACTTTATCGCTAGTGTCTTTGGTATAATTTTTCAAAGTCACAAACATATTAGCTTTGTTAATTGAATGTTAAGTGAAAACCACCAAAAAATTTATGATTTTGTTTCACAAAAAATGTTTTATAAAATATGAATTTAAATCTTTATATATATATCATAATAAATTCTCATAATAATCTATTATAGAATTGAAGCATGCACATTAAGAATCATGTCTTGTATAATTTAATTTTTAATGAAATTTCAAGTACAAGCAGAAAATACTATTATAATTATACTAAATTACCCACATTTTAATTTGGTCATATTTTAACCTAAAATTTCACATGATCACCTCGCAGGATTCTTTACCATATTAACTATACATGATCACTTTGATAGCAAAAAATTAGACCTTGGCTTACAAGTAAGGACTAATATTTCCTTATTAAAATACCTTTTCTATAAAGACAATAGCGACAACAAGTTACCAAGTTTTAAGCTAACAATATTTGGTAACAGGTGCAATTGAAAAAAAATCTTTGCATCAACAGAAGGAAAGCTAGAACAAAAAATATGTTCCTATAACCCTCCCAAATAAAATCCTAGTGAAAGAAGGGTTTAATCCAATAAAACATTTGTTTGAATTATATTGGTTGCTTATCCATTTATATGGTTATTTATTTGAGAATAGAAATGGTTGTTTCAAATTTTCATACAAATTTTTTCCTTAATATATCTATAATTAAGTATATAGTGTTGCACTAGGGAAGTCTTATTTTAGTGGCTATATATATATATAAATTTTGTATCTTGTAATATAATATATATATATATATATATTATATTACAAGATACAAAATTACATTATAAAATATACTAACATAGACGCTACATGGATAATCTCTTTTTAACACGTAGGATAATATTTATATTATATTATTTATCAATTAACTCTATTTAATAAATTATTTAAATTTAATATGTTTAGATAACTATGTAAATTCAAATCCAAATCTATAAAATAATGAAAATTTTATATAAATTTTAAATTCAAATATATTAAATTATAAATTACCTTTCTTTTTTAATTTAATCATTATTCCAAATATATATTGGCTTAATAAATTTTTATTTGTTGTCAAATAATTTTATTTAATAAATTACATAATTTAATTTTTTTGGGCAACTATTTAAATTCAAATCAAACTCTATCATAAATTATAAATTTTACATGAATTTTGAATTTAAATATATTAAATCATAATTTATCTTTTCTTGTCAAAATTAATCATAACTTTGCCCATATACATACATGTATATATGTATGTATATATGTGTATGTAAAAACTTAATAAATTTTTATTTGTTGAAATCAAAATCTCAAAATAAAAATAAAAAAATCTATAAAATGAGAGCATTACTCTCTAACTAATGTTATTTTATGTGTTATTATTAGAATTATAAATTGAAGAATACGATTTTTTTATTTAACGATTATGATTTATGAGTTTTAATAGAAATGGATAAAAGTTAGAAAGAATAATAAATACATCATATTCATGTATAAGTAAATTCATTTTATACTTTTATTATTCTTTTATTTCTTTTATTTTTATCTTTTAGTTTTGAAAATATGTTTGTGATGGTGTTAGATTTTTTTTTTATAATATTGATTTTTTTTATATTTCAATAATGAAAGGAAAACGCACATTTGGATTATTTTCAACTAGGTAATAGGTATAGTTTATTACTTTTTTCATATTATATTTCTTTTTTTTTCCCTCTATTTGTTTGTTTGTTCGAACCTTTTATTTGGTTTTATTTGCATTATATTATATATACATTTAGATTTGATTTATTCTAAAAAAAATTTGGTTCATATGTTTATATATATATATAATTAAATTGGATATTTAC